TGTACTCGTGTCGAGCCCGGCTATTTGTCCCCCCCCCCCCGTGTGTCTCTAAAAATCAGATCATTCTTCGATCACTGTTGTTCGCCTACGATGAATCGGATCGATCATGTTATCCCTTTATCGCCTTGTCCTGTTTTTTTTGTAAATTAGACGCCGTTCTCATTTTCTCTTCTCTTTCTCTCTCACTCTCTCTCTCACTCTCTCTTTCTTTTTTTCAATGGGACACTAAATCCGTGTTATCGAATCATGTCGACGTTATCGGACACAATTGTTTTACGCGTTGTTATCGTATACATATATGTTCTTTTTTTTTGCCAAGATTTTATGCATGTTGTATAATGTGAAATTTTTTTGTAGTTGATAGTGTGCGCGGGCGAATCTCGTGCGTCGCGACACAACAGGAGATTTCGAGTTCCGAATACGAGCGACCGTGAGAATTCGTTCGGACGCGTTTCGATCGGCGGACTGCGGACCTTCGTGCGAATTCGGCTTCCATCTTCCTTTTTTTTATAGTGAAAATTCCAATCGACGCCGACCCATTAGACTTTAGATAGTTAAAAATTATATAATTAAGTCTAATCCATTAAACTTTATATATATAAATTAATTATATAATTAATTATTATTAATCGTAATTAATTATATAATTATATATATATATATAAAATCACTTAAACCGGCTGCCAGAAAATTTCTACGGAACTTTGTAACCTTGTATCAAAATTAACCCCATCATCCGTACAATTAATTCATCCATCCGTCGATAAATCTGTCGAACAAAGCGCTATATTCGAAAGAATCATGAGAACTTCTCCCAAATAACGATCAGAAATTGTAAACAACAAAATCTAGTGCCACGAAAACGCGTGAAACGTCCGCAGCCCGTCGATCGTTCCGGAAGGCGGAAGTAAGAATTGACAAAACAGTGATGTCACGACGGATTCAAGGGGGTTTCCTACTGTACAGTGTTGAAAAAATTAAATTTTATTTAATCAGACCGCCTGAACGTGTTTGAACAATCCGACGAACTGTATCGCGAGCGGGCCGAATCGAAGCTCCCGCCGTACTTTTAAACATTCAGTCTTCCAGGTACAAACGAAACGAATTGTAAATAATAGGTTGTTCCGCGGGCTCTGTTATCAGACACCACGAAAATATCATTTGGAACGTGTAAATTTGTCGAGAAAAGAAATCGACTTGCGCGTCACCCTCGGATGGCGGGACATTTCTTCCGGATTTGCCGAACTACTTTTGTGAATTAGAATTTAAGACCGCGGTGTCCGAATGTTCCAAATCGTTGTATTCAGCGAATTGTTAGCGAATATTAACACGTTCCGTGCCACGTGTATCACCGATGGTACGTGTTTACATGTTTACATGTTCATTTAACAGGCTAAACAAAATGGTTTGTAACGGATTTAGAACCGAGGAATTAATTTCCAACACGAGAATGGGTCGTAATAAGTTTTTTTCGTTGTTATTATTATTGTTATGTATATATAATATATAAAATATAATATAATATATATAATATACATTATATATAAAATATAGTATAATATATAGTATATATTATATATAAAATATAGCATAATATATAGTATATATTATATATAAAATATAGCATAATATATAGTACATATTATATACAAAATATAATATAATATATATTATATATAAAATATAGTATTATATATATATATATATATATATATATATATATATATATATATATATATATATATATATATAAA